ATTGCCTCAGTGTCATGAAGCTTTGCTACCTTTGAAGGCTGCCCGTCCGGATTGCTTGAGAAAAACTATGATGTTTTACAGAGCTGACATACTGTTGTGACGCTCATTAAGTGAAGCCTTGAAAATTCTTGGATAGACACTTCTAAATACTTGTTAAAAGGGCGAGACTTGTCCGACGGAGACGACCTGCATAAGGAGGCTTCTGGAGAAGGCAGGGCACTTGGTGGAAGACATAACTCCTTTTCAAACATGACATGTGTTTGTAGGCGCGGGGGCTCCTTTGTCAAGGACTCTGTGCAAAAAGACTCTCATCAAACCTAAGATCTTTATAAAGGAAACGTATTCTCAGTGTACAGTGTACAGTACAGTGATGCAAGGAGTGTATAAATGTCTCAGCCGACGATAGCTTCACAGCAAATCTATACAATAGTAGGTGATGAATCAGGATGAGGTCTTGACAGTGTATAGATGGCCGAGGCTATCTTCAGAAGCAAACTAAGCAAGCTCTTGATAAACGGACAAATGAATTGAAACGGGGAGAGTCGGTCAAAAGAGAGAGATAGAGAGAGAGAGTATGATATGACAGCGGAGGTTTCTGGACTGAGAAGACGCATGTACGAAGATGTAGATTATATATATATATATATGTGGAGGATGGCCCGTTGAAGGGGAAGGCTAAAAAAAATATAAAGGGACAAAGTTGCAATACTGCAATAAGAAAAAGACTAACAAACAAAGGCTATTCTTACAATCACTGACCCTCACAATACAAATGCTTCGTACAAAACTGGACGCGGTGGTGTATCCACATACTGTACGTTCATGGAGATCATTTTCCACAAAGGATGAGGCCATTTCTTAGAAGGGTGGACATTCTTAAACGATCACTTTCGGAAGAAGAACAGAAATCGCTAGAGGAAGGCAGGGATCCGTAACCTCAAGAAAAACTGGACAGTCACGAGCAGCATGAAGGATGAGGCTACAGTAGAGAAGTGCACTCTGCGGACTCTTCAAAAGAGATACGACCTGTTGATGGGAAGATAAAGGAAAGTGCCCGTGGCAGCAAAGTGCTGTTTAAAGCCGCCGGCCCCAGTTGCTTGCTGCGGCGCCGCCGTGTTTTATTCAGGCTGCTAGTATGTCAATGTGTTTCTTTTTGCTTCTGTTTCATTCTCGTCAATGGTTGCCTTTGGAGCGGATTTTTGATATTGACATAGGTGACTGGACACCCCCAGTCCCCCGCCGTGTGTTTCCTACTTAACCCCTGTCAGGTCTCACATTCTACATGCACTCGTTTTTTGCTAGCTTGAGAAGACAAGTCTACGCTGTTCGACCCGCGCCCGATAGCTTGACAAAACAAGTATGTTCCACGGGCAACAGATCTGGCAGCTTGACAAAACAAGTCTGCGATGTTCAGCCAAAAAGGGCCGGCGGAACAATCTGCAGGTTTAGAATAATGATGAATAATGATGGTACGCTGGCAAAACTCCACCGAGTTAAACTTGTCCGAAGGAAAACACTTGCATGAAGGAGTTCCTTGCTCACGGATAACACAGTGTCGTATCAATCAAGAAGATTTTGTGCAAGGCTAGATTCAGGGTAAGAGAGGCAGCTGTGTTTTGGTCCAAACACATTCAAGACCTAGGTGTGCAAGACACTGTAGCCTTACACGGTGTAAAGCGGTTGCATGTTTATACAGGGTGAGAAGCTTTTGGGCCTTCTGAGCTGATAAGACCTTTTGAAACTTTCGACACTTTGGAAAAATGATGGACGATACTTAACAAATGGAGGACAAGTAGGACACTTTGGTGAACGATGCCTTTCTAGAAAAGTAGACTGTCATGGAATATGTCTTTGAAAGAAACAGCTCTTGTAGGGGCCAGGCAAAGATTTCTACAATGGGTAGGACACTTGCTTATGAACGGGGAAGAACTTGTATGAGATTAGCAACGATAACACCGTGCCTCGTGACGGGAAGACTGTTCAAAAGAGGAGGACAACTTGTTTGCAAGGCAGAAGCTTGTGCATACATGATGACAACGTTTGTCTCGAAGGCTTGGGAGGGCAAGGAATATGTTTGGAGGATCAACTTCCTTTTAGGCCATGGTTGATGGAGGGTATTCCATACAAGAGAGAGCTCGTGTACAACATCGAAACATGATCAACGCAGGACATCACAAGGCATTGGCTCTTTGCATTGACTTTAGACTTGTGTACTGTACCACTTTCAACGGCCCTTTGCATCAGAAAACCCGAAAGACTCAAACAAAGACAAAACTCCCAACATATACAAGCCACATGTCACAAATGAATGGGTCCATGCCATACTAGTCCGAAAAATCAAAGTAGTGTGGAACTCATGTTATGAGCCTGGAGGATCGATCCAGATGTGTTGATTTCGTGACTCTATCATCTCACAACAACAGGCCCCAGTGGCGCCAGTTGAACTATATATATATGTATTATTATATATTAATTTGATCTAGATTTACTATACATTCACAAGAACAGAGCACAACCAAGCAAAGCTATCAAGCAAGGCTAAGCCACTAGCCTGATAAAGTCATCAGACTGCTGTGCTTCATGCACTTCATGCGCTGGCTCCTTGTTGGGTATCTAAAGCATAAACAGGCAGCAAAACACGGCCAGGGACATCAGGGACACACTTTTAGAGGGTACCATACAATTTCATATGACAGTACCTGTCCATATTTGTCTCCTGTCCAGAGTGACGCAAGTCTGCTTGCCGAATAGGACGACCTTGCAAGACCCGCTGCATCGACTGTGTGGAGCTGTGTAGAGTAGAGCTGCATTCAATCTAAACAAAGTGATGTTTTGCGTTGGCTTCATTCAGCCTCCTCGAGTAGCGTGGCCGAATTGAGCTGGGCAAACAAAACATGCTCTGATCACCTCAGAGCAATGCTCTAAGCTGGACAGAGCGTTTGTGTCTCGTTGCAACCATGTGGCAATGAGAGGCAACAAGAGCCAAGTGAGACGTGGTAATGAACCTAACAAGCACGCAAGCACACGTGAGATGTCAACATCACTCCAAATAGCATTCTTTTGCAACATCTCTCTCCCGTCTGAAGTGGATTTGCTTCCAACTCCTGTGCTGCTAAGGGGCGCCGAATTGTATCTGCCTTTCCCATGACGTGCTTTGCAGCTCACCAGAACTTTATGGCAACCGTTTGCAGTTGTTTGAGTAATCTGAACGAGTCTCACGACCTGAATATCCATGCTGCTGCGTTCTCACTGTTGGAGCATCTACAACCATCCGCCCTCCTTTATGCTTGTCAAAGCCTTAAGCGGCAAGCCCTTGCAGGTCTTGGTTTGAATTACTTATACAGCTGCGGTAAACTGATCTGTGTCAATGTGGACTCAGCATCCTTTCAATATGAAGCCCCAAGTGCGTCTTCACCTCCCAAGTCGATGCGCGAGGAGCCTCACCTCAGCAGCATCGAACGCGATTCTTATCAATTTTCATTGGACAAATGGTCTTTCACATCAGGTGTTCAGAAAGCTTGAGCGCCCCCATTTGTATGCTCGGTCCGGCACTTGCGGCCTGTCCAGCCTCAACTCAACGCTGACTGTATCTGTCGCTGAGACAACGCACGGAATTGTGACTTCCCGCATGGTTGGCGCTTTGAGGGACTAAATAATGCTCCAAGTGCTAGTAGCTTCTTGTTCCTAGTAGCGATGGCCTCCAACCTAGTAGCTTCTTGCTACTAGTTACTAGTAGAAATGCTCCAAGTGCTTTCGAGCAGCTTCCTTTCTTTCTCGAACAAGCTGTTCGTACATCTTTTTGTCCTTCCAAGTGGCGGCAAGTCACGATGACACATCAGGAAAGGCTTCAAGAGTCTCCTTGCCGGTTAATGATCCACAGGTCAGGTCAAGAGTTTGTTGCACCAAGCGCCTGGGCACTTCAAAGGATGCTGTTCACCAAAACTTATGAAAAAGACCGCCAAGTGTCTAGACCCAGGCTTTCTTTTGGTGAGTCGGCCCGGGACTGTTTGATGTCTTCATCCAAGGGTGAGTCGCATGTAAAGCTTGGAAGGTGATTGACCTGCCAAAATCAAGTGACCACGATCATCAGCATCTTGCTATCAAAACTCAATCCAGCTGCAGTTGGCCTCGATGAGATATGGCTTCATCTTCGCATCCAGCATAACATCAATGCCCAGCAACTCAAAACACCTTAAGTGTATACGGGCACACCAAAGATTGCCACATCTTCGCAAGGAGAGCTGGCAACACAACACCAAGTGCCTGCAACCCATCTGACCCCCTGTGAGGTCCCGTGGAAAGGCTCCATCGTACTCCGTCTGAGCGTGTTCACATTTCCAGATCAGCTCGGCAAAGACATGCTGGAACTTTGGCCTCCAAGGTGGGCTTCACCATAAGCACAGTCTTCATGCAAAGACCTGGAGTCAAGGTACATAGACATTTACATTTATTACACTACATTTGGCTCAGAAAGGAGGATAAACTCCTTGTTCATGAAAGTTTGCCATGGCATAGTGCTCACACAAGTCTGCTGGTTTCGAGCGTAGCACTTGGGGCAACTACAACTGTGCAACAGCTTGTGACCGTGTGAATTCAGTGCAGGAGTGCACTAACACGGCCATCAAAAGTTGGCGTTTCTGGGAAGTTTGGCACTTTTTTCTAATGCTTTGAAGAAACATTGAGTGCGCAAGGCCTTCCCAGAGATGACCAAAAACTGAGACTCCGGTCTCTCGTACCAAACAGTTGTCCTTATGCCCATTGCATGCTCTCCTTAAAAGAGCTGCTTTGTGCATCAAGAAATTCACCGTGCGGAAGTAATGCATATAAAAACCAAATTGAATGGTTTCTGTAAACGGATTCACCTGTGTACAAACGACATCGTGACCTCCAGGCCAGGCTGTTCGACCATCTGAGACATTGATCTACTTCCATATATAATAGAACCTCATAAAACAAAAGGACCAATGGAGCTTCAATTTGTGATAATTGGTTGCGATCTTGCAGGAATAATCAAACATAGCCTGGAGACACCTGCCCGTTGTTGGAGGTTGAGCGGTCTCCTCAATCTTCGAAGCTGAGAAGTAGTTGTAGCCGCCCTAAATTAAACCTCCACACCATTGGCACAATGGACATCTCTTGGAAGTCCTCTATGCACGAATTTTTTGCGCATCATTGGAAAGCCGGAAAGCCAGTGTAGGCTGCTGTCTAGCTCACGACACAGCAGCCGTGATTTTTCGGCACGGAAACCAACCTGGCTGAGATGGACGTGATACAATTACAGTAATGCTCTGCAGATACGCTTGGCTGGGCTTAGTCATGCTTAGGCTTCACGTCTGTGGAGAAACCACAGTGCAAACCGCTGGCCTTGGTAAATCAAACTGCTGCAACCAAGCGCTCCCTGCAAGGAGGCGCTTTGCTCTAGGTCGCTCTTCAGGGTCCTGGCAGATCCGCCGACGAGGGCCTTTCGCACCCACATTGACAGCCGTTGCGAAAATGTCTTGCCGCCTGTGAAACTTGGACACCAAAGTAGCATACTTGTGAATCCTGTCTTCTCGTCTTAAACATGATTGAACCTATATTTACAAGCTGCATGCCCGCATGTTGTTTCTAACTTATAACGTCACCTTCCCTTTCATGAACTCTGCAAACAAGCCAACTGGACTCGTTGCATCATCTTGAAGACAAGCTCTCTGGCCTGTGAGACGATTTCATGGTTGGAAATAGTGAATAGGCTTGTTGCAAAGCAAGCTGTTGTAATAGCATCAGCATTGACAGAATCTGCACTTTATATTTCTATATTTAGATTACCAACACACACACACACACACCTCCTCATGAACTTCATTCCAATGAGTATCCTGCGCATCTCAATCGTTGTGCGAATGTGTAGAGTAATCACACGGCATTCCTATAGCCCGGATCTGTGCGACTATCACACAAAGGCATCTTCACTTGAAGCGGTCGGTCCGCAGGGTCCATGTCGTTTGACTTGATTCTCTGCAGCACAACCTGACACTCCAGCAATCCAGTATGTCTACACAGCACATGCACATGCGGTTTGTACAATGTTGGCCTTCGCAGTATCCGCATTGCTGAATGCAAAGGGATGATGACCTCCAAGAAACTAGGAGCAAGGACGCTACTAGGGGCTCCTGGCCTTACTACTAGGAACAAGAAGCTACTAGGGGCTCCTGGCCATACTACTAGGAGCAAAAGCAAAGTACATCATCCGACATGCGGTAGGGTCCTAGATGCGCACCACCTGCCTGTGCAAAGCACGAAGGAAACGACTCCAATACTCCAAACATCACAACGCTCATCGTATCGCCCACAAAGGACCTTGGGTGTTGCTCTAAGAAAAAGGCAGGTTTGGGGTACCGTGTTACCTCTGAAGAACGTGACAAAAGAAAAGGTGATGGATGTTGTGGTAAGACAAAGCATCTCGTTAGGCGCCTTTGTTTTCTTGTCTCTCGTTAGCCAGTATGATAATGCAATTGATGTGGTAGGTCATTCGACAATTCTACAAAACTGCTTTGGCAACTCTGAAAACAAGAAATCCGAGGACCAGTCTTCAGGTGCGACGTAGCAGGGTGTCCCAAGGATGTCCTTCAGAGGTCGGCCTGTCCCAGTACACCAAGCATCTGTCTTTTTTGGTCGGTAGGACACGGCTTGAGATGGTCGATTTGATTCTTATATATATATATAGTACATCTAAAATCACTTACTCTTCAGTCTTCAAGCATCTTCAAGCACTCATTTCCCGAAGCAGGCCTTTCTTGAACATACAAGCAAGGCCAAAGTCTGCTAGCTTCAGAAGCATCAGCTCCCCTTGTCTCTGAACCTGCGATGTTGGCCCAATTTGCGATGATACTAGACATTGCATCAGCACAAGATCCAATGTTAAGTTATGTTAAGTTTCCCAAAAAAAAAGAAACCAAATCATTAGTGCGAGCGCTTCTTCAAGGAAGCTTCCCCCGCCGCTTCCTTGAAGAAGTGTGAGCTATCCTGCATCCTAAGTAGTAGCTACTTAAGCTACTAGCTGCCTCTTCTACTAGCTACGAGTACCTAGCTCCCCCTACCTCTACTAGCGGCCCCCTTGAATCCTTGAAAAAATATTCTTGGACCAAGATGCCAAATAATTCTCTGGCTTGATGTCGCGATGGATTATTCTATGGTGATGCAAGTAGCATATACCGCACAGCATCTGCCACCTCAAAATGTGGCTACACTGCTTCGGTTCCTTTGCACATGCTTTGCTGAGGTCAAAACATGAATCTACCTCAGCCAACTAAGAAGCAAGCCCTTACTTGACCATATGTGCACAGTATGTCAACTGCACTTTCATTTTCCATCCTCAGTACAAAATAACATAAGTGAGGCGCCAATCACATCTGCGGACCACTTTGCGCGTGCTCCGTGGCCACTTTCCTGCGACTTTGTCAAAATAGAAAGAGCACTTTGTGTGGTCTCTACCCGCAAGTCCCAAAAGAACTTCGAAAGACATCGAAAGGGCTTCTAGAAGCACTATTGTACAGAAGTCAAACTTGTGAGCTTGAATTTGCGACCTTTCATGACATCGCATCTTTCATGACTCGTGCGAGTTCAAGCAAAATTCAGAAAGGTCAAACAAACTTGGAGTGGAACTGTCCTTGACAGCAGCGGCATTGGCAGATTCCTTGAAGGGTGCTGCTAATTGCTTTTGCCATAAACATCATTTCTCAAAGCTGCCCAACAAGGTGTTCTTACCACTGTTACCACTGGTGCAGTGAATATAGTCAAAGTATGTAAAGGTCTCTTTATGGCGACCAGTGCACAGTTGGGTTTTGGCAACTGAGGTGAGGCCCCTACCAGCATCTCTGCCAAAGTGCCACCAGTGCAAAGTTCCATGACCTTACATAAATCTTCAACAAGCATTGACAAGCTTGAAAGGATTCAATCAGTCCTACACAAACTTAGACACCTGCCAGGTGAACGCACTCACCTGTTTGAAAAACTTCGTACAATTTGACTACATACCTGGCCACGTGCGCGAAGGCCACATGCTCTGCTTTAGGATGCTTTTGACTCCGCTTTGGCCCACCCCAAAAAGGCGCACGGATGATTCAGCTGCTTTGCAATCTCGAGCTCATCTTTGAAATGCCCTGGTTCCTCGACACGCACAAAGGAGTCAAGTCAAAGCGATCCACAGATTCATGGACTGCAAGTGGAGTGACAACATATGCCTTGAGCCACTGTCTATTCAGTTGAACTCACTCAAAGTCCTCCAGCTTGTTGATCTGAATCGATTTCAAAGCTCTGTGCTCACCACTTCTCCTGGAAAGAAACTCAGTCTTTCGACAGTAAACTCGTGGTAGCAGCTCCTATGCCGGACGCAATATACCACGCCGTAGGAGCCTTTTCCTTCCAATACAATGAGATTCAACACTACAGTTTCTTTCAGGTAATCTGGTCGGTGGTGTCTCAGAGAGTTTTCTTCCCAGACTTCAAGCATCTACAGAATCTGAGCAGCTTGCCCAATTCTCTGGTCACATCATAGTGGTTTTCCAGTAGTCCTGCCAAGCAAAGAAAAGTCTTACAAGCTCCACAAGACTGACTCCGCACCTTGTGTTTCTGGAACTGAGCTTAAACTACGAGTAGGGGGCATGGGAGCCAGCCTCAAACGTGTTGGACATTGCCCGACAATGAAGCGAGCTTCCAACACGGTATTGAGCCGATCTCAACCCCGATTAAATACATTGTCAAAAGTCAGCCTTTCCTGCCAAAGAAGGGGAAGCCTGTGGCTTTGGCTTTCAACAACAAGTTAGCACCATCTGTGGCTTGGACACTGATGGCACCGAAGATGCAGTGGACATATGCGACCTGATGTCAACGAGACACACACGCACACACACACACAGGAATTTGATCTGGAGACTGCCAGCATCTCAGTCTGACAACTTCCACATCAAGTGCCCACCTTCCCACGCATGTCCAGAATCATCAGAGCTGTACACTTCTAATGTTTAAATCATTGTATCTGCTATCAAATTGAACTATAAAATAGATTATATAATATAGATAATGAAACAACTATATATATATATATTAATACAGACATTAGAGAGAGAGAGAGTATAAACATGTATGATGGGCGGAGATCACAGGTGGAATGCAGTTTGGGGGCTACGGCCAAACTTCTGTTACAGTACTTACATTTACATATATTTGCATACAACACCTCCTAGACTTGAACATCAAGTGCAACATTCTTCATCAATCCTGATCATATTTCAAGCACCCACTGCCAATCTTCACTGGTCTATACTCCTTGGTTTTGTGCGGGCAGCATGCTCCATTGTTCTGATCCATCTGTACTGAGTTCGATTCTGGGATTTTGAAACACATCCAAAAGCGTTTGTCATCAATCCCAAAAAACGTGCGCTGGCAAAATGCAGTTCATCCTTATCCACATCTGCCAACAGCTAGATTCCTGCCGTGCATGTTCTTGTCGAGAAGAATATTTTGAGGGCAGGTGGTCGTGGGGCCTGGGTTTTGGTGTTCTATAAATATTAGGTAAATGCTTCAGTGGCAGCCGCTCTCCATATAGACACGTATTCAGAATCAGTTTTGTTGTTTTGAAAGCAGCAATCAGTCACTCAGATGGTGGATGGAAATTTGACAAGATAGTGAGGAAAGAAGCAGACCAAGGAATCAGACAACGTGTGTGCACAAAACAAACACACGCGTGCAAACAGGCACTCATTTTCACACTTTGCTTCATGTTTATGCCGCAGATAGCTCTGTACATAGGCAAATCTCAAAATGGGCACAACTTTGCAAAAACATGACTCCGCTCAGCGATGTGATGCAGGTCGCTTGAGGATGCCCGCAGGCCTCTTGACACATGCGTAGGACTTAGACCTGCTCTTGCCTACCTTTTTGTAAGCACTGAATGCATTCAGGTATGCCTTCTTGTCCGAAGCATCGTTTGCATTATGCATCTTTGCGAACAGCAAAACCTTGAAGGTGTGCCACAGCACTGAACAGAACATTCATTCAGCACTCTGGCGTAATTGCGAAGCCATGCAAAAGCTTGTTCCGGGCCACTGCTGGTGACATTTCTCAGACGTAGCTGAAGACGATGGATACGCAAAGGGTCACCGACATTTCATCTGATGCCCATGTGCATGCCAAGTATCGATGGACCAGTACTTGATTTGCTTGAAGGCCTTCTCTTTGTGATAGCTTGGATAGACCGCGCAACAGCGATCTAGAGTGAAAGTATTGCACGAAGGGTGCTTGGGGAGGATTCGCTCCAGTGCGTCCATGGCCACTTGGTTGCCTTCTGCCTCATCCATGCGCGTCACTGGTACCAGATCCGTGCGCGCTGCCTGTTCAATCTCAAATTGAGACTGACTGCGCAAAGAGGACCGTCTTGGACCCGAAAGATTTCCCCACACGAGTGCGGCTGATCCATGTGATCGCATTTTGGCGCATACTCGGCAACATATGCACCGGGACATTGTCCAGGAACCACGGCGCGAAGCTTTTCAATGCGAAAGGCCAATACTCAAGAGTCTTGGCACTTTGTCTTCCACGGTAATAGTTCTGCAATGCAGTGGTGACTTTTCCTTCACTCCAGCCTTCGAGTGGACCACCTGGTCTGTGCACTTGTCCGTCAGTCCATTCCATAAACTGATTTCTATTGTTGCTTCGTAGCCCGTGGTCCCGAATAAAGAGATAGCCGTTCTCCCGTGCTCTAAAGTGATCTTTTTCTCGAACTTGGGCTTAATTGTCCATAGCCGCAACTGCATGCCACCCATTCTGTCGAGCATATAGTTGAAAAGAGGGGGGTCCACCCAAGAGTCTCTGAGAATTTCTTTTTTGTTTTTGTAGGTTATCCCAAGTTTTTTTCTTAAAAGGCAATTTCCTTGCAAATGGGTGTTGTAACATTACATATGGGTCCTACAGATGTGGCTGGCACATGGTGATGACTACACTTAATTTCCGCGTTTCCGTTTTCTCCACTGAGCACAGCGGTGTTGGGATGAGTGAAACACAGTGCATAGGATTTCACCCCTCACATCAGAACCTGGCAGCACAAGTCGAGAGCAGTTGGTCAACATGGATGAAAGCGCCAGGAAACTGAACGAGCAATTTGTCTTTTTCCCCTGAGATCTACTGGGCCATGCGCTTCCTAGA